TTATTATACATCTTTTCCTTCCAAGGATACATCATGAGAATGCTGAAATCCAATACGTTTAGAACAGAATCAGCAAACTTCTTTGTGTGGAGTCCGGTCAGACACTGGTGGCAGCCATGTTTGTTTTTATTATTAGAGGACGCTTACGCGCGTAATCATTCCATATTTGGAATTTGCATTTCTTAATACGATACAATGAAAATATCCAATAAAATACTGCAAAATTACGGCACACTATAACTTGTGACGTAACGGTGACAGATGTATAATAATGTATTTTATGTTTATTTATAGGATGCACAAAGTGCAATTCCCAAAGGTACACTACTATCCATATTAATCAGTACTGCAGTATACATAGGAATGGCTATCATGCTTGGTTCCTGCATTGTGAGGGAAAGTACTGGTATAATTAGTGATATACCAGGTGGTAATTTCACTAAGTTGTGTGAATACCAGTCATGTGATTATGGCCTACTTAATGACATGCAGGTAAGAAACACAATTCTCTGAATATTTGTTGCAAATATTAAAATTGGTAACAATAACAATATTTGAATTTTTCTGTCATAATGTATTAATATAAATAGGATGACAAAAATATAATGTAAAGACTAATAGAAAGACTTAAATACAGTCATGTGGGGGAGACTTCTTATGTGGATTTCAAGCCTTGTGTCTCCCTGTGAAACCCCAAACATTTTCCATTGAAATTGGGCATGGATGTAGATGAGGGGTGCAGAGTTTTGTTTACATTGCCGTTTTGAATATCACGCTTGTAAATAATTATTATTTTATCAATGTTTCAAACCCCCAAACCTTGGCAAAATTTAACCAAAATGTATGGATCACTAACCTATCCAATTCTAATCCTAATTTGTCCCCTGTATAATTCTAAAGTGTTGCACTCATGACTTGTGCAATTAAAAATGGCATTCTTATGACAAACCTTTTACGCACCCTTATACTACACCAATGCCAAAAATTGGAGCAAACAGACATAGTTGCTGGGTCCAGGATTCTAATCACAATGCATGTAACTCAAAGACTTTTTCTCAACATTAGGTTGTACAGACAGCCTCTGCATGGGGACCAATAATTATAGCGGGTATATTCTCTGCTACATTGTCTTCTGCTTTGGCAAGTATGGTTGGTGCTCCCAAAGTCTTTCAGGTGAGTATTCTCGGGGCGAACATTCAGGAAACCATCATGGTGAAAACAAAGACTGAAAATCCTCAGAAAACGGTACTTTAGGATAGCGGGTGTGATTCCCCTGAACAGTGTAAAAAGATTACCCCTACATGTACTACATATATATATTGAATTGCTCAGGATTACTTCAAAGTTGAGCTTGTGCTGTTTTCTTGACTTTAGCTGTTTTCACTGGCTCTTCGACCGGCGTTCCAAAACAGCTTGTGCATAGCCAATAGAAATACATGGTACAACGGTGTGTGTCTTAGCAATAAAGAAGGTTCTGTGACGAAGCTCCGCCCCTGAGAATAGCAAACTGACAAACCTAGTTAAATCCTCTAAACTATGTAGATAATTAGTTGTAATGGGAGAGGAAAAAAAAAATTTCAAAAAACAAAACAAAAAATGCATTATTAATGACAGTAGTTTTACAATGTCTATTTCAAGTTCAAACTATATATATGTGCACATGTTAGATATGATTTTAAAAAAAACCTAAACTAGGTTCTTTCGTTTTTAGTCACCGTTTGAACAATGTCTGATTAATTTTGGCTTACTGGTCCTCGTAGTTTCTGAATTGATTTGTATGTACACAAATATGTTTATCATTTATTCCTAGGCCGTATGTAAAGATAAGATATTTCCAAAGATATACTACTTTGCTGAAGGTACAGGTGCAAATAATGAACCAAGAAGAGCCTATATCTTGACATTCTTCATTGCACTTTCATTTATTCTTATAGGTAAGATCAGAGGTACATTACTTGGGGTTTGCAACTCGCATAGTACTGTATGGTGACATCATGTCAAGATCCCATTCAAGTCTCTTCTCGTAGATAGCGAGACTGAGGCTACGACCTTCTGACATGACGCATATCAATGTTCAAGGTTTGTAATGAAAAAAATAAACTTTTCTTGTCACCATCATAGTGAAAAATGTAATACATCGAAAATGTACAGAAAATATAGTTCTCGTAATCCGTCATATCGTGGGCAGCTATTTTGATCCACCTGGACATCCCAGTATCCTAGTTACCTCGGGCATGCGCATTCGCATTTTTTCTGAGTTGGAACGCTTATGCGAGAGTGGGATCTTGGTATCATGTCACCGTAGTTACAAACCCCAAGTAATGTACCTCTGGTAAGATAAATATTATTTATATTTCACTAACAGACTTTCTGGCCCAAATTTTCCTGCACTTTTTTTTTTTATATAATATTGTTCAATATTTATTGAAATGAACCCAAATTTTGGAGCCATCAAATAACATTTGAGTCAATTTTCATTTTTTACTCAAAAAATTTTGCTATTTTTCTCCCAAACCTCTGAAGGAAAGTGCAGACTATAAACTGGAATATTTTGTGAATTTGTGATAAAAAGAACTGGTGGTGAATAGGTTAAGTCTTCATACAACGTTTATATGTAGCTTTATGTGCAGCGACCTTTAATTGGATGTTTGTATATATAAAAAAAATCAGGTACAGATTTGTGCAATGGGGCAGTATTGTGTTATTCTGTATGGGAAATGACATTTTAAAGAAATCTTATTTATCTATCCACAGGTGAATTGAACGCTATTGCTCCAATTATATCAAACTTCTTCCTGATGTCATATGCTTTGATAAATTTCTCCTGTTTCTTAGCTTCACTAACAAGACCACCAGGTAAAGGTTAAGCTCAATAAATTCAGTGAATACATTAGTATTACTATTGTAAAATCTGTATTAGAAGCTGTGGTTTCTATTAAAATGGTACAATGCAACAGAGGGAAGCGGTTTCTTTTAAAACATCTACACAAATGTGAAATTGTGATTTTTGTTTTGTTTTCAATTGTTCAAAAAAAATGTGTGCGACTTCTGTTAGGGATGTGGCTTCTAATACAGATTTTACGATACTTTATATCTATATTTTCTTTGAAACAAAACGATTGCTGCAACATTTCATAATTGTGTGCAATGTATACAACCCGACTATTGAAAAACATTTTTTTTAACTCAAAATTCAAACACAGTGATTGTATTCTGTGACAGCAAGAAATATTTCAGTGTCAAATCACTGTTAATTCATGGTTCATGATTGAAGTACGTACTACAGACATCTCACTTCAGTCGTCACACCTAGCTGTGTTTGATATGTGTCCCATGCAACAATTGTAAGATATACTGTAAAATACTATGATACTTAAAACAATTTTATTAGATCCTCAGCAACTTCACAAATAATTAATAATACAACAGAATTCGTTGTGATGCATTTGTTGTTGATTTGCGCTATTTGTAGGTTGGCGTCCGGCTTTTGTGTTTTACAACATGTGGTTAGCGTTAGTAGCGTCACTTCTCTGTATAGCCGTTATGTTTATGATTAATTGGTGGGCAGCGTTGATCACTAAGACCATTGTCATAGGATTGTATCTGTATGTGAACCACACTAAACCTGGTAAGTCATTAGAATTTACCATCCTTTGATATCAACATCACATAGATTTTAGTTGTGAAAATACGATTTCATTTATCCATTTGTTCCAAAAGCGTGGCTTTTTGTTACAAAGACAAAATACACATTTGCAAATCAATTTTGTTTTTGGTTTGACCGTTTATAAGCAACTGGTGTCAGTTTTCGAAGACTAAACACCTGGTATAGCATAATAGGCAAGTCATATTTGTATAGCTATGTTCCTGTTTCTGTGTTCTTCAACAATCCACACAGTAAATATGATTGACATATTATACAGAAGGTATGAATCAACATATATGAAATAATATTTGAAGGGACTTAATTTTTGTTAATAAAACCATTATAGACCTGACTAGGTGATGAAGGTTACTTGGTTGCTTAATTAACCCTTGGAACACAACCATTTTCTACAATTTATTTGTTAATTGATTTTCCATTAGTTACAGACAGGTCTAGATCAAATGTCCTATTTTGAAATAATTTACTTTGGCATACAAAGGGGTGTACAATTTATAAATTTCATTGCATTGTAATTTTATCATGTACATATATAGTTTTGTGTAGTGGTTTATTTACTGTAATGTTCAGTTTTTTTCATAGACTTTATTGCTATGCAGTCTGTGGTTTTTTCAAAACTGGCTACAAGTGCTGCTATCTTTGCCTTGATTTAGCTTCTCTCACAAGGTTGTCATGTTTTTAACATCGCTGCGATCTTTTCTTCAGAAATCAACTGGGGATCATCTACGCAGGCTTTTATTTACACCCAGTCTTTGCAGTCCACACTGAAACTGAACAATATTCCAGAGCATGTGAAAAATTTCAGGTAACGATATAATAAGATATAAGAGAAGATAGAAATTGTCATACATTACAAAACAAATAAAGAAAGAAACAACAACAAAACGCTATTAATGCTCCCAACTCTGGTCTTGATGAACTAAGCTTTGGGAAGTGACATGTTTGTTGCTCATAATAGGAATACATTTATCACTTTTACTACTGGTTCTATGTAAATTTCTGCTCTGTTAAATTAATACAGTCTATGTGCCCTATAAGTGTTTTTATCTTTAACTTAGTTATGTGTACATTGATCACATATATAATATGTCAACTGATAACCCAGCCTGTCCCCTGTCCCCTGTTCTCACTACATATACGTCATTTCTCGGTTCTGCTACTTATCAGGCTTTGCGTTTTGAAAATTGTTTGTGAGCAAGAAATGGCTCTCCTGACCAGTAAGCAATTATGGAGCGATGCTTATTAAAATCTCCTAGAAATGGTGTGATTTGAGAGTGATAATTAGCTCCATGGATCTTTACTGATGGATGCAAGGAGGGGTAACTTTTCTCGAATAACATTTCCCAAAGTACATTACAGTAGCTGTTGTACAACAACATTAAACCAATAGTTATCGAAGTGGAGGGCACAACTGTAAAATTCTTTATTGAGGCCGCAGATTTAATTAAAATTCATTTTTTCAATGGACGAATTCAGATTCGTGAAGTCTTGGTGCGGCTTTAATTAGAGCATTCACTTCAGTAACAGTGGCAATCTGATTAAAATCTGATGTAGTGTACGGGCTTTAATTATTTTGGCTATAAACTTATTTTAATTTTATTTTTTATTACTTTTGTTATTAATGCCTTTTTATTTTACTTTGATTTTGTGATTTTTTTTAATTCTGCCCTACCTACATCTGATCCGACGCCTATGTAAGTCCCGTTCAAATCTCGCGTAAGTAACATCCAATCACAGCCCCCCTTTTATACAGGCTGTCGGTTGCTTACTTTTCAGTGTAGCGATACTCTACGGG